AATCATTGAGAAAGAAGTGTTTCGAGTTGATCGAAAAATCTGCTTTATTTTGTTGATTTATTTTGATTTATATGATATAATCACTGAATTGTACAAGAACATATATAAAAACAAAAATATTTTTAGAAATAGTATTTCATTCATGTCAGATAATTATTTTATACATGAGTTTGATATTTATTTAAAAAGGTATTTATTGATACCAATAAGATGATAATATCTGTAAGATAGTGCTTAATTTATTTTTGTGATATCTTTTTTTATAATTATATTTAAATAGGTGTCAAAATCTTTTTATTTGGCATATTAATGCAACTCTTTTATCTTACATTATTCATTAGTTGTGATTGAATTAACTCAACTCAATTTTTTGGTTTGAACTATTTTGTTTCTTTTTCTTCATTCTATGGTTTTTATATGAAAAGGAACTAGTATTTTTAAGTCACATATCAGCAAATCCACCCTAGATCAATAGCCCCACATGATCTATTAAATGTGAGTTTGGTACGTTAAGAGTGGAGAACGATTATGCTAATCTTTATTCTTTCTTACCTAAGACATTTATCTCGTAGAGTGAATTGAGATTGTGCATGATGATGTTCATAATTTTAACCACCTTTATTTTCTTTACTTTTATTTGTTTGGATATCTAGGAAGTGCAATGTGCTAGTAAATACAACTAGCGAGAGAGACATTTTATTAATGCCTAGTTCAAATTAAAAACTTATCGAGCCTCTTGGTTTTTGGTTCCCTTACTTGAGCATGATATTGATCATATTGGTTAGTGCATAAAGGATTTAACTCTATAAACAAACTAATAATGAGTTTTATAAAGTGTAAGTATTTTAAAGAATTTACTATTTTTGTGAAAAACAAAGTTGGCAGAATATTTGCGTTTATGTGTTTAACGCCAGATACCAAATTTATTATTTTCAGCGATTATTGTTAGTTGTGAAAAATATATGTATTTTTCTTCTTATATGTAATAGTCAATTATTGAGATATTAATTACCTACAGATTGTTGAACTCAAACTAAATTTTTTTTTTTTTTGAATTTTGAAAACGAGACTTGCTTTATGATAATTTAAGGGTGATCGTTAAAGATTGTTCAACATCTTTAATTTGTTACATATTATATTTTATCACTAAAATAAAAATTTTACAATTATATTTAAGTGTAAAAAAATAATTTTAAAATTTTAAAAAGTAAAAACATTATTTTATGACTTACCAATATTATTTGGTATCAAATCTATTATTTTTATTTTTTTTTCTAATCAGCGAGTTTATATATTTGTGAGACTTGTGTCATAAACATGTACTACTAAAACGTACCTAAATCTTGGATTTGAGACATTACTCCATTTGTACTTACAAGAGTTTAATTCTTTAGGTTTTGATGTATACTTGTATCTTATATAGTTTTTTTTATTATTTAATATTTGAAAGTTACTTGCCTATTTATAAACTTTTTAATGCCGTCAGTTGGCTTTGTAATTGCTCTTATCTGTTTGTTTTCTGGCTTGTAGCATTTTCTACGCAAAGAGATGTTAGAAGGTCGGCCTAACAAATATAAAAATAAGCATAGAATTAACCAAGGGTGACATTTCTTTTCTGCACCAGCATATCTCTCACTCCTTTGATTTTATATAGGCCGGCAAAAGCTTTCTTTATTTTATTTCTGGTTTTGTTTCTCTTCTATGGATACAACCGTTTTACAATTATTTGAGATTGATTTTAAGAAATGTTAGAGAATCAAGGAATTATTCTTGAACCTAATCAACTCAAATCTAACAGTATCTTCCAATCAAATGAAGTTTGCTGTAAAAACAAATGGAGCATTACAAACAGACAATTCTTTTTTCTTTAATATGAAGCCTGTAAAGAACATGGATATATATACATATATGTTTGGCAACTGGGATTGTTCTAACTAGTACCTGATATATCAGTCTATGATTTCAAGAAGTGCTAATGGAAGTAAGCGCCATGTCACTAGGAAATCTCTATTTTCAACCAGCCAAAATTTATCTCCCATGATCATGTAAAGTTTCAGAATGCTGAAGAGTTTATGAATTTTCCTTTGAGAGACTACGAAAAGCAATACTCGTAAGGGAAGTCCCTAGTGATTTTTTCCATTGAAAAGTGCTTCTCATCTCAAGGTTGATGCAATTGAAATTCTACTGCATAGATTATTAGTTTCTTATTCGTAAGACTAGTATGGGTGACTATGTGCTATATCTCAAACTACTTTGGGACTGAGTTACAGAAAAGCTTCCTATTTTCTACATCTTCTTCCTGATTATCAGTCTCAGATTCAAAGTTTCTGAGGCTTCTGCAAAAGGCTGCATCCTTAGTTTTAAGTTTCCATCATCTACAAATGATTCAAGATGTGAAGGGGGAGACTGGGGAGGGTTTCTATCAAGAAATTGTTGTGATACAGTCTTCCAAAATTACCTCCATGCTTTGGGGATCCGGGCTAACCAAACAGGACTGGTATATTTGAATTCAAGTGAGCAGATGAGTTGTTTAGCTTCAATGAAGACCTTCAAAGAAGATGTCTTTTCTTGTGGGATTGAGAAGCTGACCAAGGGTGGTGGTGAATGTTCCGGATACTCAGTTTCTGATGTTAAAAACAAGATGGGAGATGATCTTAGAAACTTAAGGGAAAACTGTGAACTTTTGAATTCTGGGAGAGAATGGGATCCATCATGTGTTTCCTGTGTCAGAAGCTGGGAAGACATAGATCGAAAACAGTCTGTATCCGTTGATTCTGAGTCTCTGAATGTTGAAAGCTATATCTGTAAGTTTGCAGTCCTTGTTTCCTTGACAAGTGGTAGGATTGCTGATCAATCATCTGCGAAACAAGTTTACAAATGCCTCAGCCACGAAAAGAAATATACCAGTGAGTAGCATGATGAAATTGACATTTCAAATGATATGTAGAATTTGTTAGTTTAATTAACTTGCACATGCGTTATGTATACACTACCCCTGCCTTGCCTTTACAAGCTTTCATACATATAGCTTTAGTTCAAAAAATTTGGACACGATTTTGAAGAGAATGTCATAGAGAAAAGGAATCAAGTAGCAAACTGTATCTATTTTCTTTGTCACTTGCAGAAAATCAAGAACCAGAAGATAAAAGAAAAAAGAAAATTAGCACAAGTAAGTTTCTTCAGTTGCTGGTCAAAATAATTCAGATTTTCAGATATATGTGGCCTTTTTATTTAACCAGCAACAGTTCTTCATGGAAACAGGTTTGTGGATTATAGTAGGCTGTATAATAGGGGCGGCTTCTCTGGTTCTTATTGCTATATGCATCCTGTCAAAACGTTTTGTCAGATTCAACTCACCACCAGAGGAGAGTATGTACCATCTCTATCAACACCATTTTCATGTCGTGTGATGTGTAAATTTGATTAGTAAATTTCTTAGAATATTCATTTTCAATACAATTTTTACTTTCTTTTGAAGATTTTGTTATATATATATATATATATATATGTATTGTCTCTAATGAGCTGATTCACTTGGCAGCATCTAGAAACTTGTTACCAAACAAGATTGGTTGTCGAAAGTTTAGCATGAAGGAGGTTTTTGCTGCCACAAACTCTCTAAATGAGCTAAATTTCATTGGCGAAGGAACGGCTGGTGAGTATAACTATTGATTCTGTGTCTTGATAATATTTTGACTCCAACCTTATGCTTACTTAAGCTCTTACTCATTCTGCCAAGACTCAAAACTGTATGCTACTTTCACAACTCTGAATGATTTTGACTCACCATTTACCCATCATATCAGGAAAAGTTTATAAAGGCATGCTCCAAAATCAACAGCATGTTGCAGTTAAGCACATAATTAACGATGGAAACATAGAGACATTTGTGAGGGAAGTTACAAGCTTAGCACACATCAGGCATCCTAACCTTGTTGCTTTGCTGGGATATTGTCTCAGCCAAGAAGATTGTTTCCTTATCTATGAACTGTGCCCAAATGGAAATCTGTCAAGATGGCTTTTTGGTATTTTCCATTTCTGCATTCATTTAACTTTGTTAGGCTTTCTGGATAATGAATTCAATACTGTTGTTCCAAACAGGAAGGGATAAGTTCCTGTCCTGGGTCCAGAGGCTTCAGATTGCAGTTGGTAGTTCCAGAGGCCTTTTGTTTCTCCACACATATTCACAAGGCTGCATTGTCCACCGTGATATCAAGGTCTGTCTCGAAATCATACCATCCTGAGCCCTCATCCCCGACTCTTGTATACATCAGTACTACCTGTCTATAATCATAGATGTTTGTCCAACTTTCAATAGACCAAGCCAACCTTTCTTCCTGATGCAGAAAGTTAAGCTAATATTTTTGATACCCGAATTCTATCTCAGAAAAGAATATGGTAATTGAGTTCCATAAAATGATTTAGTTCACATATTACCAATAACTTGAATCTAAATTTTTTTATGGTTGCTTGGAATTTACAGAGTGTGTGCGAACATGTGCTAATTTGGTGATTCTATACTGATGTGATTTTGAACTTAGTGCTTCTGGACTTAATAAGAATATAAAGAATTTAAGTAGCTCACGTTATACACTATTGAAGACTAGCTAGACTCGGATTTAAGGCATTATATATAAAATTAAATTGTTTTATCTGGTTCCTATTTCTTTCTTCGATAAAATGATTGTTCTGTTGTTGTTGCAGCCGACAAATATTCTCCTCGGACCCAACTTTGAAGCTAAGCTTTCAGATTTTGGTTTGTCAAAGGTCATTGACTTGGGGAAGACGTATGTGAGCTCAGAAGTGAGAGGAACTTTTGGTTATGTTGATCCTGAGTACCAAAACAACCGCCAAGTAAATTCATCAGGTGATGTCTACAGCTTTGGAATAGTATTGCTGCAGATACTGTCAGGAAAAAAAGTCATCAACTTGGATGCCAGCCAACCAATGCCATTAAGTAAAATGGTAAGAAAAAGCATTCATAGTCTGTTTTGTTATTCTGGATTCAAATTTTTAGTATCAATTTGTAGTCTTGTGCTTGATATTTGTGCTTCCCAGGCTAGAGTCCTCACTAGAGGTGGCAGCATAGCGGAATTCGCTGATCCTAAACTTGCAGGCGAGTATCCACCAGAAGCTTTTGATCTTGCACTTCAGCTAGCACTGTCATGCACAGCAACACAGCAACAGCGGCCATCCATGGAGGAAGTTGTCATAAGGTTAGAAAAGGTCCTTTACATATCAACAAAGGCAAGTGCCTCAACTCCTGACTCCACTCCAGATCATTCTTCTACTCTGTAGAAAGGTTTTTCTTTTTCTCATTTTCTTAATCGTTAAAGACCTTTTAGTTAGATAGAGAACATTTTTCGCATAGTTGAATAACTTATCCACCATACGATTAATTTTATTCAATGTCAAAATAGCAAGAAAATTCTGTTTTCCAATCTTGCTTCATATTGTAACAGAAGGCTGCCTTCTACTGAATGCTTATACATCACATATTATTATAAATAGAAGAGTCAAGTGGGTAAGTGCCGAGAGTTAATATAAACAAGTAAATTGAACCAGAAGACTTCACCATCAACATAGTACTGTAATTCACAACCAGCCGTTTATACACATATAAACATACATATAGGTATAAATATATAAAGGCCGCTTAATTGATGGAAAGATTCAGGAAAAGAATCCTGTGTGCTCTAGTACATCGAAAGGATAAAGTGTTTGGCAGAGCAGAGGTTACAACCATGCTAGATTTTTCAGAGTTACACAGAGATGATAAAGTGATTTGCATTTCCTCTTCAAATCACCTCATCAAGATCCCTGTATCGTTATCAATCAATAGGATCAAAGACATGCAAAAAGAGCATAAACAGGTCCGCAGAAAATGGCAAAACAAAATGTATAGCTAATGATTTACTGGAATTTTAAGATGGATTGCAAAAGACCAAAGATCTCATCCTTGGCTATCAACATGTATTCCTACTTGGCATGAGAGCATAAGTTATACTAGCAATTTCTTGTTTGTTTTCTATAGGAATCCGAATTCTTATAGAAGTCAAATTTTTATATAAATTAGTATTTTTAGGAAAATCTTACTATAAAGCAAAAGAATAACCGATTTTCATAATTAGAAAATCTTTTGTTTTTATAGAACTGATTTATATTTAGTTTTCTATTAAAACTCTCTTTAAACTTTTCTTATATATGTAGATGTTGTAAATTAAGTATCATGAATAAACAGAAAATTTAGTTACAAATTTTCATGATATTAGAGCAGGATCTTTGAAAGTTACGAGAACTTTTTTTCTCCCTCTTGAGATGGCCAAATATGGAATAATTACGGTAAGAACCAATAACCTCTCTGAAATCACATTTTAATATGATGGAATTATTTCTATCAAACCACCAGAATCGGAAGCGATTCAAATTTCAATCACCAGCCAAAAGCTGAACGGAAGCAACTATACTCAATTAGTCAAGATGTTTATCTACATATCATTTTAAAATTTGTGAAATAAATTTATAAAAGATCAATAAAATAAATTAAATATCATTGGTGACTAATAAAATAGATATAGTGTTCTTAAGCTACATCAATGGGCCTTTGTGTTAGTTCAATTCATATCTTTTCTTCATTGAAAAAGAAATCAACCTCTAACACTCAGGTAAGGAAGTGTTATACTAAATCTTACTAAGGAAGACCAAATCCGACGGTACTAAATCTGAAATAGCTGCAAATAGCAGTAGTAAGCTCTATCAGTGGGATAAGAGTTTAGACTAACAAACACTGTTAACACTCAAACCAAGATGAAAATGGAAAACCTTAACTCCCTAAGAGATGAAATCATTTTTTACAGCATTCTGGAAATTAGAACAGACCATGCTAATAACTCGTGCAATCAGAGGATTTTATGAAGTAAAAATGAAAACCTTGTATTAGAATATGATGCACAACATTTGCAAGTTAATATCTTGGTTAAAAAAAATGTGACTTTCATTACTATCCTACCTGTAAGAGTTTACATAAATGTAATAAAACTCCCTAACTACTCTAATTAGCTCTTTCTTTTTTTTTTTTCTCAGTTTTCTGATTAGTTCTTGTATTAACTACACCTCCGATTGGTCTTCATAGAAATCAGCTGGCTTAAACAACTTTGGCATCTTCAAGCTGCTAGAGGAGGTATCAATTACCGAAGCTGTAACAGTGCCTTTCTGGTTAGCTCCTCTTCTGGTGTTAGCAGCAAACTTTGATGCCAAAAATGTAACTCCAAGATGCTGGGCATTGTAGGCATTATCCACTGATGACCTCTCACTGCTCTCGTAGTCTTCACCCTCTTCTCTGTCAATGTAATCAGTCTCAAGCATAAGCAACTCCTTTGCCATCTGCCTCTTTTTATGTCTTCTCCATGCAGCTTGAATGAAGCAGGCGCCCCAAGTCCTCCACTGGTGAGAATAATACCTGAAGGCATGCTGAAGCTTCTTGCTCTGTAGCCGCTTGAACTGATGTGCAACAAACTTAAGGTCTTCAGCACTCAGAGCAAAGGCTTCAACTTCAGTGAATGCTCTAACTGTCCGAGTTGAAGATGGGAGATTTAGGCTGGAAGTAGGCATTAAGGCCCAAGTAAGTAATTCCTCGCCACAGAAGTCACCCGGTCTGAGAACAATCGAGTTGAAGAACCCAGATCTTCCTCCGTTAGTGGTGGAGCTCTCTAATTGTCCTCTGATGATAAACAGCATCTCATTTACCAGATCATCCTCACGAACAATGAAGGTCCCGGGAGTGCTCAAAGATGAGACAAGACGTTCACATATGGCATCAAGAAGCTGGTCATCCATTTGAGAAAAGAATGGGACCTGCACAATTAAAAAAAAAAGATTCTGAAGCAAATTCCATACTACTTTTATTATTTAAATAAACTTAATAATCCTCTACAGTGATTGCAGATGTTATAACTACGAAAAACAAATGAACTAATTCAAGTTAATAAGAAAAATATCTCTTAGCTTGATTTTTTTGCATGGCACTTACCATGCCTTTGATTTCTTTTTCATCAAATTCCTAACATATTCTTAGGTTACAATTCTCATATTTGTCTTATATGCACATTAGAGTATGATCTGTTTGTGCTTCGATTACAACAATTCCATGTTACATTCTCAACACCAACCTTGGAAATTATGAATTAACTTATCATCATCAAGAAATTCAAGGTGGTCGTAGCTCAAACTGAAAACATTATATTCTAATAAATTAATAAGAAAGAAGCTAGAAATCGCCTACCAATCAAATAAGAAATGAGCCTAATACAACCTTAGGAAAAGAGTCTGTTTTATATGTCACAAGGCATCAAACAAAACAAGAGTCAATGCTAATGCATTACATGATAATATTAAACAAAAATGGATTTGTGAAAGAAAGTTTTAATGTTGATGTGTGAATAGAGTATCTATTAATAAAGACAGAAAAAATTGTTTGACACTTTTCAACACTAGAAACTAACCTGCTATTTCCCATAATAATAAATGTTATCACAAAATGCAAATTATGTGATGATAAATAAATAAAAAATAACTGGCAATATAGACATACACGACGAACGAGGGAGAGACACAAATGGCGTTGAATTTCACGACGAAGATCCAGTGGCAATGAATGCAATATAAATTCTTCATCGACTCCTCTTGTAGCAAGCCATTTGTACTGAACGAATTGACGAACTCGTTCTTGTAATTCTGGAGGTAACTGGCGATGCCTCATCCATTCCTCAGTATCTCTTCGCTTAACCCTCCATTCTTCAACTCTTACACTCATAGATTGTAGCGACGTCTTTGAGAAGAAAAAGAAAAGGAAAGAAAACCCCAATATCAGAATAGACTAGTTATCTGCTAGTGTTAGTGAGAACTTTATGTGTAAACTACCACAATTTAGAAATAGTTATTCCAGGAACCAATTCCTTGAAATAAATTGTAGATACTCAAAAGATACACCATATAGATGCATAATTCTCATTTCAAGTATTATGAATGAGATATATAATATAAAAAATTCATGTTCAAGGACATCTTCTTTGATTGAAGAACCCGTGACGCACTAAACAAATGATACCATTTAATGAGATTTTCAGAAAATCCAGGCTAACATCAAAAAGCATGTTGTTCTCTCATCAAGAATGCAGAAACTGAAAAAACAAGCAGCAACCTAAAAAATTCTTCCAATTGACATCAGTAGTTTGACTGAGTTCATTTCTCAGGCTTTTATAATCATGAATTTTAGCATGTTTTCCTCTGAGAACATATAAAATCTCATATCTTAACAGGTTCGCTATCTGGCACCTTGAATCAATCTTGAGAAGAAAAAAGAGACTATCCAGCAACTGTACAGTTGTATGACAACTTAAACATATGTATTTGTATCCAAATGCAATAGTCCAAACAACAGAACCTATCTATATCATGTCTTATGAACTCAACCTGATAATCAGAGGCTAATTAATTAAAATAATCCATTAAGCCACTAATGCATGGAATCATTTGCATAGCACTAGCTATACTATTTAGGAACTTATTTTTATTTTAATATTTAACTAGGGACTTAGATTATGTTTTCTTAAGTTAATTATGATTAGATTTCTTGTTCTTATTAATAGGATTTCCTTAGATACACGTAGTACTAGTATTTCTACTTCTGGAAATTCATCTAATTCAAAACTTTTATCTAGAAAACACCATAAGTACCGCTGTGATCTTATTTTTTAAACCATTAATTATGGGGCATATGATTCTTTAATTATGAGACATAGAAATGCGAAACTTAGATTTTATTTCCAAATCTCAAAATAAGAAAACTAAACCTTGATGCCTTCCATCAATTGATATTAGACTGAAAGTATTCCTACACTCAAAACACTAGTAACCTTATACGCAGAAAGTCCAACCCATTTGGAAAAGGAAGCACATAAATCGCAGTTCCTAAATCACACAACACAACCCCAGACAAATCACCACCCACCAACAAGGGTGACTAACACAACCCTTGCCCTAGGAACCAGAGACATCTAACCAGCTAGTAACCAGAGACCTGCAGCAAAGAATATTGGACCAACATGAAACTGGCCCTCTAAAGTCCGAGCAACCGCCGCTACACCAGAACCTGACCACCTCAATCACATCACTGTAAACTAAACCTGATCCGCCACCACTAAGCTAGTATACCAACAGAAGAACCTAACACCTTTGATGACATGAAGCCGGTGCGTGAACCTCACGAACGCGTGGTTGAGAATGCAAATTGTCAAATCTGCATTGTTTAAATTGTTCCATCAAATTTGTGCTTCAGGCTGGCTGAACTAGACCGATAAGTTCCCAAATATATATGAACTGCTCTATTTTTAGCGCATAGGAATTAGTCTAAGCAAAGGTGACCAAGCTGTGATAAATATCAAGCAGATGCTTTGGATGCCAAAGTAGATGCGCTTAAAAATTCTAAGCGTACAATTCAAAGCACAGTTAAAACACTTACAAAAAAGCTTCGGAATTTTCATACTGCACAAACTAGACAAACTATCCAAGTTGCTATAAACCGACTACTTGTGCAAGTAGCTGTGCTGATAGAAACCAAGTTGAAGATGATGCAGGAGAAATTCCTTAAAAGAATATTTTAACTAGTAAGATATTCCAAATAAATGAAGGGTCACACTTGCTAAGATGAATTGGTTGCTTTGCTCTTGCTGAATTCTTAAAGTTACCACTATTATACCACCATATTTTTGCAAGTCCAACCAATTCATTTTAGCAACACAAATCCTTTGTGCATCTGCTGTATCTTACTAGTTAAAGAGAAGCTCCTGAATTTGAGAGAAGAACAGATGCTAATTTCATCGTTGAATGCCTTAAGTAGAAAGATACTTTAACTAATAAGATATGGCAGATGAATGAAGGGCCAAATTTGCTAAGATGAATTGGTTTGACTTACTAAAATATGGTGGTATAGTAGGAATAACTTGAGAATTTAACAAGAATTAGACAATCCTGCCATTGAAACATGGGACAGATGTAAGCTATCCTGAAAGAGGAATATTTTTCTGCCAACTATTTTAACAACATTCATTATCAAGCTTAAACCATGACACAAGGCAATATTTCAGTAATTGAATATACACAAACTTGAAGATTTGAAGATACGGAGTCAATGAAAGTAATACCATCCAACTTGCCCCATGATTTAAAGCAGGATTAAAATCTGAAATTAACGGGACTTAGATTCCAACCCGCAACTACTGTAGCACAAATTTATCAAGCTGCCCTAGTCATGGTAGAATGGTTAAAATATCTTATTTTGAGGAACGTTGTGTTCCTGATTATGGAATTGACTTTTAACTAGACCTTTGCATCAAAGGACGGGTCAAAGATTGATCAACATCAGTTTCCAATACTCCTTCCAAAAAAATGCAAAAAAGAAAAACAAATTGCATGGTGGAATGGGACAAAAAGAGGAGATGCAAGGAGGAGAAGATGATTATCCATCCTATAAGAATGATGCTTTAGTTGCCGATGAACAACTAGGAACCCCTCTTGTTATTTGGTGAATAAAAGCTAAAAAGCATGTTATTGGTGGAAAACATGATGCCTGTTAGTTTATAAAAAGATCTAAATCAGCAGAGAAGCAACTATGTCATTGAGGAATTTACTTTTATTTTAATATTTAACTTGTTAAGATTTAGATTACATTGTTAACTATGATTACTTTCTTATTCTTAGTTGTAGCAGTATTTCCTTAATTAGCATTGCTATTATACCTCGCAAAGTTTTTAGTCTAATCACATTTGAGATAAATTACTCAAAGAACCACCGTAGATACCTTCATAACTTCGCTTTAAAGAGGAGTTATTCAATGAAGGGTTCTTAAGGATTTTCTGAGTCTTCTGGATTGTGTGATGTAACCAACACCTTAAATGAATTTCTAGGTGTTTTTTCTAAATTTTTAAGTAGGTAAATGAATCCTGATTTTGTCCTGCATAATAAGAAGAGTGATCCTAATTCAAGAAGACTGATAAAAAAAGTAACGGGTTTGAACTCTTAACATCTTTTTTGTTGCTCGCAATGAAATCGACGGAGACTAGAGCAAGAAGCTACTATTGCATACTAACATCAATGAAAACTCAGAATTGACTGCATCACTAGCATTTAAAGGGATGAACACTTTTTCACTCTCAAAAGGAAAAAAACACCATTAAAAATAATGGAAAAGAAGACATTTCCTAGGGCAGGGTTTGAGATGTAGGCACCGAATCATTTAATAAGCAAGATGATCGTTGCAGAACACAGGCCAAAGGTTAGGTTAGGTTAGGTATCAGTGAACTGAAAGAAAAAAGAGCAAGATGCATAACATTTTTATAAGCATTCTTTTGTCCTAGTATAGGATATACCTTAATTTGGAGCTCAACTCAAGTTTTCATTTCTTGTAGACTAAGGTGTTCAGGAATACTAAAAAACGCATAGACAGTTATAGATATTTCTGTTATTATAACTGTCATCAAAATAAAATTATGAACCAGTAGATTACATGGAAATGTGTGGTACCTGCATGTTACCTATCAACAGTGAGAACAGAATTAAACCAAGAATACATATGCCAAGGCAAAATAATGTCTCGCCAATATATATGCTTGTCTCCAAAGTCTGTCCATATGAGCTGCAAAGAGAATAATATATAAGTATGAGGCATAGAAGAATCACGAACCCAAACTTATTTATGAAATCTTTTATAGAAGATAGCATGCAACTTTGAAGAAAACCTGCACTTCTCTTTAAGGTAAGATTCTGAAAAAAATAGTAAGTTTTGTCATATTTACTCCTGAAAAATTTCCAGGAAATTTAAATTTTGCTAAAGTTCATTGTTGAGTCAAACTAAAAGATGAACGGCATTTACACAAGATTAGGATGAATAAACTTTAAGATCCGATAAATCAATGTGAGAAGTTTGTAGCCAATAATTAATTTCTCTAAGGTCATAGTCTGAAAAGTACAGGAACATCGAAGCATTAAGCGCTGTAAGTTAACTGCATGATAATTTGCGTTTCCAAGAAAAAAGTGCTTCTGCTGACGAGGATCCAAATACCATCTAGATAAAATATTTTCCTATACATCATTGTCAATAAAAAACATAATTCAAGAGTAAAAGAACTGCAGCAAATACATGCTTTCAAGTAAATATAGATAATTTGCACCACTTTGTCTGCACTATACCACAAAGTAATTGGAAAAGTCTAACAAAGTACTCAGACAGACTGATCTACAGAGAAGCTACCGCAAGATCAAACATTGAAAACCATACCTCAAATTTCTTAAACCCCACCAGAGACAGTATAAATACTTTGAAACAAAATCTGCAGAAGCAACATCATTAATAAAAGCATCGGCAAACATTCCGAATTTGAAGTTATTATTGCTGTTCTTTGGTTCACAGTTAGAAAGAACCCTAGTGACATTCTGCCAATACTGTCTTTCAGGATTTTCCAGACTATTACAATCCAAAAAACTGGGCAAGCAATCTAGAACGCGTAACCCATTTTCCCTTCTGCACTCTTTTGTCCAGCATGCAAACTGTCGCCCTATAGACAACAAATACCACATTGCCCCCAAGACCTGCAGCAACGACGATGACAACCAATTGAGTTTTGAGAAGTAAGGCTTTTAGAGAGAAGTAAGGGGCAACCTAACTACTTACATGGCTGGCCAGTATGTACAAAATAAGATTGTATACAGCTCCTGCCCATGCAGTCTTAGCAACAACCCCAGTAGTTTTTATGATCCGTTGGTTCAGAGGAAACATAACAAAAAGTCGAGGAACATATTGAAGAAGAACAATGAGCGCAAGAGTGCTATTGGCATGATCAGCCCTAGAGTCTTTTATGGCCGGAATCACTAACCAGATAACAATCTGCAAATAAAAAATTTACGGCAACCTGAGCTCCGAATGTTGTCAAGCCAAAAATGAGATTATGGAAGGCCCTGATCACAGCGCATTGTTCCAGCTCATCATATGCATAAGTGCAGAAGGATTAATCAAGAGATGCATTCCTTTCTGAAGTTCTTTAAAAAAAATAGAAGTCTCTGACTTGTTCATAAAGAAAAGTGAGGCTAGCATAGAACTAGGAATATTGAGAAGGGCTAAGTCTCCTAATTTATTACGTGTCCTACGGACTTAATTGAATTCCATGCTACCCAATGAAACCCACTTAGAAATTTCACCAAAAGAATGAAACCAGTAGGGATAACGCATAAAATTCTAGACTAACCTGAGGCAATGGCAGCATAGCAGCAAAATCAATGACGAAATCGGTCTTTAAGTAGCGCGTAGCAATCTCCCTGGCGTCCATAACAAGCTCACCCCTGCCAAATACCCTGGAACTGGGAGCAACAAAAGCAGTCCTGAACTTCATAACGATGTGGAGGAGGTGAAAGAGATCAGCAATGGTGCGAAAAATGGTGATGAGGACACCGAGACCTGTGTCGGTTGAGAGACAAGCGGGACCACCGACGTAAGGGAGGTAAAAGTAAAGAGGATCTATGAAGAGGGCAAGGATGCAAGTGACCATGAACAGGTGGTTCCAATGGGTGACGATGTCGCTGTCCGGGTCGAGGATTTGGTGGCGCCATAGGAGGAGAAGAGGATGCTGCTGCTGGAGGAGGGTGACTCTGGCGGGGTCCGATGAAGCGGCAGAAGTTGCAGGGAGGGAAGAAGAAAGATCGGAGGGGTGGCGGCGAAAGGGTCGGATTTTATTCATCTTCCATTGCGGATTCCGGGGTGAAACGGATTCCGCCGCGAAGAAGACAGAAGAGGCAGAGGAGGGAGTCTGATAAGATGGGCGATGGTGAAAGAGAGTGGTGATGAGGGAGGAGAAAGAGAAAGAAAAGGAGAAGAATGATGGTGGATTTTGTTTGATGATGGAAAAACCAGAGGGTTGGTTAGCTGGAAGGGGGAGAAGTTCGCGGGAAACCGGAGAAAATGGACAATGGGAGCGGGAAACAGGATGTTCGTTTACAAAAATATTCCTTCCTCAGTACATTTTAACCCATTGTGATGCCAACACAAATTGAACTTTTAATGGTTTTAAAACTTTGATGCTACTAAATTTGTGATGTTCCAAATCAAAAGCATATTTATAACAAATTCATAAAAATGTAGGGCATAAAACACATCTAAAACTACTTAATTACTAAAAATAAACATAGATTAAATATACTTTATACTTATGAATTGATATTATGGTTGTCACAGGGCTTCGATCAAAATCTTATCCCATTCCAAACACGTAAAATTTCTGATTTAAAAGTATTAAAAATATCCAGCTTAACATAATATTTAATTTTGGTTTTAACGTCTCCGTTTCAGAGTTTACCGTATCTTCAACTCAAATTTTACTTCCAAAATCATTCTATACCTTATTCATCAAGGTAGGTTTCAATTAATTGAATTTAGTTTACATAAAAACTTTGTAATTTTACCCGATTAAAGTAAACATGAGATGGAGATCGAAATATAATGCATATAACTTTATATTTTGAGGAATGATGAATATCATAAATATATGTGTCTGGGTTTGTTGAGGAGACTGAATTTGGGCCATGGATTCCAGATGCGGCACATGTTTACTGTCCAAAGAATGGGGATCAGCAGGCTTCAGATCACATATACCTTTTAAATATTAATTATTTCAGATGCTTTTTTGTTGAATTTTTAAATATAAAAAAACTAAATAAATATCTGAAACATTAATTATTTATTAACAAATATAAAAAAAAATACTCTGTGTAAGACCAGAATAAAACCCGGATTCCAACCACTCTCACTTGATCTTCTTGTATTTTAAAAAAAATAAATAAATAAATACAAGAACGATCATGCTAAAATTAACTTCAACCAGCTTATATGAATATATATATATATATATATATATATTATATAATGATAATGGCCTGACCCCTTATGCACTAACATGGATTCTTTGCATCTCCTCTTTAATCTCATATTTAAATGCTTGATGCACGCCACTTTGCTTTTGCCCAAAAACCTTTACTTGTTTTTTTTTTTTTTCCTTTTGAGAAATTAATTCTCACTATTGCATACAATTATATAAAATAAAAAATAAAACAAAAAATATATAAAATTTAACATAATTAGATACATATACCTACATTTACTTACCAATAAAATCGAATATTTAAACTTTTGATTAAAATGAAATAAAAAAAATTATTAGAGTTTTGTTTTTTAAATATCTATAAATTATTTTTTAAAATCAAGTCGCATCAACATTTTTTTTTAAAAAAAAATCAAAATGTCACGTGTATATAAATATAATTTATCTGATATAAATATAATTTATTTCGCCTCAAATTTTTTAACATAAATGATTTTTGTCAGTCTTAAGTTTTCTTAATGTGATTATAAATTCTCAGAGAGATTTTAAAAATTATTTTGCTTTTATGTTCAGGCAATGAATCAAGTGATTGAATGGTATATTTTGTCTGTATTCTAAGTATCGCAATTTCAAAATGAAACGGAAGAATCATTGATTGAATAAATAATTAAAATTAAAATGTAATGCTGCCAAAAGTTTGTTGTGTATCCATCGTTGCTACCTCCAATTTTGTGTTACGTTGAAGAAAAAAATTCATACACTAATATCATATAATATTTTGTTACAGAAATTTTACTGTACTAAAACTATTTTAAAATTGATAGAATAAATTATATTATTAATTTTAATAAATGAAATAAATTTAAATTTATATATATATATATTGAGAAATTATTTTATTTCAAAAAAAATTTAAATTCTTCTATATTTAATATAAAATTTTAATTTAGGGAATCAATTGATTATATTTTGATTAAGCTTAAGATTATTTTAAGTTTAACATTTTTACATAAGTTTTTATAAATCTACAGTATTATAATGTACCAAATTCTAAATTTAGAGTGTTAAAAATATAAAACTCCGGAACTCAAAAAGAAATAAAGTCAGGAATTAAATGCGGAAGCGAAACAATAGAGTTTAGAGTTTACATTCCTTACACAATAATTTAAAATGTCAAATATGGTTACGGGAATAACTCTTTTAAAAGAACAAATAAAATCAAGAAAATAAATAAAAGGTAATATGTTGAGCATTCTAGGACGACCTTCACTAGCTTTTGAAGGGAGTTCGAGTAGTGAACTATTCACAACCCTCTTATTGATCGGGATATGAGTCTCAGTCCTCTTGATCTGAAATAGTTAATAAAAAGGTAAGCTACACTATCCTAATAAGAATATCACACTACTACCGATACAGAAACTGAATGTTGGTAAAAATCATAAAAATAATCAATGGAGCTCTTAATTTAAGTAAATTCATTTATCATAAGGGAAAACTATTTATTGCATATATTTCATGTTATGAGATTTCTAAAATCGACCTATAGAGATACAATAATTCAAATAACATTCCAATCTCATATTCAAGTGAGCAAGAACAATAATTTTCCATTTTTATTTGTCTATTGGTATCCGCAGAGAATTATAAGGATGTCCCACTACGCGTGAACCAATATTCAATATTTTCTACTAACTGGCCGTCCTCATATCCAGTCTGGTATGAGCACCAAAAATATCATCTCTTAATACTCTGTCTGATATAAGAGTGAATCGGGCCGTCCCTTATACCCCCGTCCAGTATGAGCGCTAAAAATACCAATCATCGATACCCTATCCAGTATGAGCCAATGTTCACAGTAGGGTTCCTTATGTATCCAGCCTATTCACCATCTTTCATGATATCCAGTAAGTCTACCATTCATTAATTCACATGACCAATCAATTTTCTATTTGTATATTAATTACTAATTTCACAATCAACCGTAAATTACGCAAAACAGACAAATATATATATATCAAGGAAGTATAATTGAATTAATTAATCATTCCAGAATATCGTCATGTATTTAAAGCTGTAAATTCAATAATCAATTAAACAT